AGTTACATAATTTGACTGGTTCAAATGTAGGCACATTTTTATAGTCAAGTAACATAATTTACTGTGCATTAACATCATATTAAGTAACTAATCCTTGCTTCCAGTGAGTTCAAGTGGAGCAAATCTAAGCCTAAAGAAGCTGTGCCCACAGGGTTATTTTCTGTACTAGCATTTGTATAGAAAAAAGATCAAATGCAGCTTCAAAGCTGCAGAAGTGAGCACCCTGTTCTCTGTAGTAAAGTTAACAACCTAAGAACTGGCAAAAAAATAGAGTAATAGGCCTTTTTCATCTTTGGGCCTTGTCCTGTTTTCTTTTTTTCCCCTCCTCCTTGGTATTCTTCTCTGCTCATTTAATTTATTTACTTAAAATTTTACTTTAAAAGTACACTTTAAAAGAACTTCTTTTTTTCCCAAGCTCAGCACGGAAGCTCAGGTAAAGTTATTCTTGACCTTCATTTCTGTCAGTCTTCACGGCTCCAATTTTCCAGGTCTGTCTCCTTCCTTTCTTTGCTGAGCATGCTCTTTAACTTTGCAACTTAGGATTTCCCTAAAGGGTATTAAGGAAACCATTTCTGTAGCAGAATATCCAGCTTTCTTGCCCACACTCCTGTGGGGAAGGATTTGTTTAGGATAGCAGGCAAAGTACGAGCTACAGACTGGTGCTTAAACTCAGTAAATTCAGCCTGGAGACCAACAGTTTCAGCCTCAGCAGTGAGACTACTCAGGCAATTAAACCTGTTTAGCCAGCAGCGTGATGAATTTAGCCTCACGTGAAATCTGCTAATACTGTAGCTCCCACACGGATGACAGGTCTGACTCGGGAATCGCACCGTGCACGCGATTACAGGAGATGACGGCAGTGCTCCTGTCTGGAGCTAAGGCTGTATCCTTGACCCTCGCCAATCCAGTTTCCACACGTGCTGCAAAAGTTCTTTTCAACGTTACTGAGGTCTCTTTCCTGGCCAAAAGCCAAAAAAGCAGTTCTTCTTTATTCCCCTTTCCCTGTTCCTTTTGATATTGTCAGCCATTTTTATCTTCTTTATATCTCTTCCTCCTCCACTGCTTTTATGACACGATCTCCAATTGATTTTCTTCCTACCACTCTCTTTGCATTCTCAATCTTTCAATTTTTCTCCCTCCCCATCCACCTTTCAGTGCAACTCCCACACAGTTCTTTTCTTGTCTTTTCTTGCCTACTCTACCTCTCACAATCTCATGACGTTTAATGCTCATCAGTATTAGCCCGGGATTTTGGGGCAGGAAAGATGGACTGTGTGAATCAGCAAAAATCATGTGGCTGTACAGAGGGCTTCTGATGGGCAATGAAAGCAAAGGGAGGGGTGTGTTCAGGCAGGACCATTTCTCCCGAGTATTGGTCCTATTTTTGCTGGCAGATCTGCACACAAATCCTGCTGATGATATCACTTTTACGGGTACACATAAATTAGGTATCTCCTCTTTATGCTTACTCAAGAATTGCAGTGTTTTGTTGAAATTTTGAACTGTTTCTAAGTTGTACGGGCACTTTATTACACTTACATACGAATTAAAAACCTAAGTACATTGTAACAGAGGTCCATACATGCAGAACAGTGTGATGGCAACTTCTGAAAAATATTTGTTTTTTTACAGTGTATTTTTGCTCGTTCAGAAATATGACTTTTGAGAGGATGGCGAGCTGGTAGCGGGGCTGCCACAAGGAACACCTCAGTAGCAATGTATCATTCTTCCATTTGCTTTAAAAGGGCCCAGAAACAGTATTAGTAATACATATATATGTATACACACACACATTCTCTCTCTCTCTCTCTCTATATATATATATAAATAAAGTGATTAGGGCTTCAGTGATGTTCCTGAGCAGTAACAGGAGTTCATGACCATCACATAAGTGTATGGAGAGCAAGAATATGGTGACTTCACCAGGGATGATGTTGCTGTGGGATGTTTTAGTAACTTCATTCTTCACATTGCAAAATGCTTGGAGGTGGAGGGCCTGTGAACGCTGGAAAATGGCAGAAGGGCTTTAGTTTACTGAGACAGGCATTAAAAAAAGGAGAAGAAAAGGGAGCTAAGTCCTAACTTGCCCTTGGCATTTGGCTCTATCCAGTGAGCAGACCTGGGGGCTGGAAACGCCGCTGGGTGGGAAATTTCAGCCTCCCTTTCGGTGGGGGAGGAAAAAAAATATATATTTTAAAATGAAACCGTCACGGGGCGGTTCTGAGGAGGCCGCTT